TTAATTTTCTATCACCTTGTCTGAAACTCTGTATTGTTTCTATTGTTTGGGTGTTGTTTTGTTTATGTCTGTTTGTTTGTTAATGTGTTTTCATTCTTTATATTTAAAAATAAAAAAATGTTTTTAAAAAGGGTTGTTCCAAACATATTCCAGTGATTGTGGCATATTAGCGACTTACCATCACTGTAAACAAATAGTCCACACCTGCAATTTAAAGTAGGAGAAGTTTATTTTAGGTCACAGATTCAGAGGATTCAGTCCACGATTTGTTGGTTCAAAGGCAAGAATGGCATGGTGGGAGGGTGATGGAGGAAAGGTGCTCAACCTTTAGCAGCCAGGAAGTGGGGGGAGTGCAGCTCATTATTATAACCTCCAGGTCACACTCCCAGTGACCTACCCCTCCATCCAAACCCCTACCTTCCAACAGCTATGAATTCATTACTGATTCACCTATGAATTTATCAATAGATTAACCCCCTGCTGAATGCAGTGCTCCCATGATCTAACCACCTTTCACAAGCCCTACCTCTGAACTCATGAGATTTTGAGGAGACATTCTTCATCTGAATCATAAGAAGAATTATAGCCTGGTATCTGAAAACGAAGAACAGTACTGGCTGAGGCCTTGGTGACAGCAGTCTAATCTATGGATTCTCATGGTAGTTCTAGTAGGATTATGTGACCAAATAAACATAACGGCACTCATGAACAAACTGCAATCAAATGAGACATAACAAATCACAACAAAAGTACTGCAGTGAAATCAGCCTTGGACAAGAGAGATGGGAAAGGAAAGTTGGCGCAGGTAGAAAATATATAGCCTCAGAGGACAAGACAAAGGCTACCAGCTCTCAAGATTCTCAACAACTTAACACACAAGAGCATTTCAGTAGCATTGTGATCTTTTAAAAATATCAGTTTACATAGCTAGTAAGAACTATACTTGGAAATAGCTAGGAAGAATGAGTTTTTAAATGTTCTCTTCATAAAAAAACTAACAGTATTTGAGATAATGAATAGGATGATCAGCCTGATTTGATCATCCCATAATGTATATATGTATTGAAATATCTGTCACATTATACCTGTAAATCTGTGTGAACTTCTTATTTGTCAAGAATAAAATAAAACTTCTTCTAAAAGAATAAATGAGATAAAAGTATCAGTCAACTCAACCTACACTGGTTTCCCATCTGAAATTACAAATCCAAATGCTCTACTAAAACTCATCTCGGCCTTCTATCTGATGTCATCTTTCTCCGATCTCCTCTATGATTACTCAGTTGGTCCCCTTCTGCTGGACCTTAGGGCCATTACATTTTCCTTTTGGAACTCTTTCTCACACTCCTCTCACTTATTCCATGGTCAATGTTACCTTGTTCATGAGTACATCTCTGGAGATCCTATTTCCACTTCAAACTTTTCCGAGCCCTCACAGCCATTCTTTTTTCCCACTTTTCTTGCTCTGTAGCACTATCAGCATCCAATACTCTATATGGACACAGTTACTGCAGTTGTATGTTTGCTTGTTTCACTTCCCCGGGGCTCCCCTGTTGGTTGCTCTGGGTGTGCGCCCCACAGCGACAGGGAGTTTAATGTGCTCTGTTCGTCACTGCGTCCCTATTACCTAGAAGAGTCCTGGCACATGACAGGTACTCAGTAAATACACACTGAATGAATACATGGTTAAACTCAAAATGGCATAACTTTTCTGATTTCAGGGAACAGCATCTATTTTAGGATGCTGTGCTGAGAACCACTTGGATATTGTTCTAAAAGTTCTTAAAACATTCCAAGATGAAGAAAAATTTTTTATGAATCGATGTAAGGTAAAAAGAACCATCTTCTCTAAAGTTCTTAATCAGTACATCAACAAGCAATACAGTTTCCTCAGTGAATGTCCTTTCTCCACGTTATTCTCACTCCTAAGCTCGGGTCCTTATTCGTGTCAGCATGGTTCAAGCCTAGGTCCTATAGGATGTAACAAGTCAGCTCAGTGATGCTCACCTGGAAGGTCCTAAAGCACCCCAAGCGCGCCTGTATTTTCCTGCCACCAACTGTTCAGGACTACTGCACAGCTTCCCTTGTGTATACTCTGCCCGCCCTGAGGGGTAATCCAATAAAATTTTAAAAGCTTCCCATAGTTACCTCTACTAACCCCTCGGATGACTTCATGATGGTCCTGGCTGTTTACATTGGTATAATTAACAGTCTGTCAATTCTAGATTGAATTCAATCATCCCAGTCCAGATTCTTAAATCCTAGAGCAAGCCACAGGATTAGAAAAAAAAAATATGTAAGAGAAAAAATGGATTCCTTAAGTCATGTTATTTTTATCTCCCTCGCCTGGCCTTTAGAGCATTTTCTCTGGGAAAAAGAGCCTGACAAAGACTGACGTCATAGTAATCTATGGCGCTGTGGCCCTCCATGCCCCCAAGCGGCAGCTGCTCACCCGGCTTCATCAGGACATCGTGGCCCAAGTGCTGGGCCTTTACAGCCAGTGCTCTCAGGTAACATTCCGCACAGGGCCACCTCAGGGTCCAAGCCAGGCTTCCCCAGCCTGCAAGGGTCCAATCTTAGCATCTTCAACGACTGCAAGCAGGAAGGAAAGAAGGACGGGAAGAAGGAAGGAAGGAAGGAAGGAAGGAAGGAAGGAAGGAAGGAAGGAAGGAAGGAAGGAAGGAAAGGAGGGAGGAAGGAAGGGAAAGAGGGAAGAGGGAGGGAAGGAGGGGGAGAGGGGAAGGAGGGAGGGAGGGAGAAGGAGAGGGAGAGACATTAGGAAGATTTGTAGGACCTGGTGTGTTTGGGAAACGAGAATGCGTGCAAACAGAAATATTTACTATGAAGAAGCAAGGTCAAATAATTTACTTCTTTCCTAAGGCCTTGGGAAGTGCACATCCTAACTCTTTATGATGCCATCCCAGATCAGTTGTATCCATGATGATCTCAGCCTTGTTTGAACTTGAGATAATTACTCCGGTCCTACTTTAAGGCAGCTGGCTGAGTACTTCTGTGCAGAGTTTCACAAGTGTTACTCAGTGGTAGTTTAACCTTCTCTATGATAATATTTAGAAAGCACCTAGGACAGTGTGTCCCACATAATTAAGTGGCATCATATGTATTTTTATGTGAATAAAACATGTCATTTATGGGGCTGCTCAGTCCACCTCATCTCGTAATATTTTCCCCTTCCACTTGCATCCCAGCCTCCCTGAACCTCCTTGGTACCTGTCAAACAAGAACATTCCAGCTTCAGGGCCCAGAACCGAACTGGAATTCATCTGGCCATTTCTAGCCTCCGAAGCACTTTGCTTCTTTAATAGACTGCTTTATACATATGGTTGATTCAGAACAACTTTGCTCACAAACATTGCGTTCGCCCCTGCAGACTCACCTAGGGTTGAAGTTTAAAATATAGCTTCTCAGAGTGATTTTCCAGAAAAGCTGAGTGAATAGGTCCTAGGAGGGATCTGGAAATCTGTACGCTTAAAAGATTTATGAGTGCTTCTTATCTACAGGCAGGTGTGGGAAGCTTTCACTGATTACGTGCCCGTGTACTTCTCCCCTTAGACTGTTCACACTGCCGTGTTAGCATCTGTACCTGAAGCTCCTTTGTCTTGTCTTCTGTGTCTCCACAAACCACGTTTGATCCATATGTGCTCTTGACATTTATTCCCATACATATGCAATAAGAGCAGCCTCACAGGGAGCTCATAAAGTCTTTGATATAAGCACATGCAAATTAAAGGTTGGGGGCAGGGATTCTCATATTTTAGTTGCATGAAAACTGCCTGAACAGCCCGTTAAAAATAAAAGTGTCTAATAAATCAGTCTTTAGTGATTGAATCACTGAATCTGTATTTTCAACACTTCAGGATCTGGTTCTGATGCTCCTAAATCTAAAAAGCAATAGTGAGAATCAAAAACATAATAAAAGATGTTTTCTGGTGGTCAATCCTTGAGCAAATTACTATAGAAATGAAAGGAGGATGATAAAGGTAATTATATGCTTTTAGCCAGGCGGGGTGGTGATGGCAGTAATCCAAGCATTTGGAAGGCTGAGGCAGGAGAATTGCTATGAGTTCAAGGCCAGCCTGTGCTATGTAGTCAGACCCTGCCTAAAGACACATTTTAAAAGACATGAGTTAATTATAAAATAAAAATACTGAATGCCCAAAAAACGGCACTTTACCTTGAAACACCTGAAGCCAATTGTAAATGTTGTGTATTGTGACAGAGCAGAGGGAAAAGGGTTTTCTGAAGTCCAACAGAAAGCTACAGCACCGGATGTGGTGGGAGTGACTCTCAGCACGGGGTACGCTGAGGTAGCAGGTGGAGGTCTATGGGGCATGCGCAGTTCAGTTTTGTGTATTCTTACCAGCTCGGTTCAACTTCTCACCTTTCACAGGCAAAATTAAACATAAGCAAATATGAAATTGGCACATGCCGAAAGTATTCCTAATGTGTGATTTTCACTGGAACAAGTCTGCACTTTTACCACAAGCCTTTAACTGATATGACTGTACTCATAGTTCCAGAGTCACCTGCCCTGTGACTTCACTTTTTTCACTTTTCATTGCTTTCCCTCCGAGAGCCTTTACCGTTTTTCCTCACCAAAGTCCACTAAGAGCCCTTAGTTTAGATCACAAAGCCTGGAAACTCAAAGGACTGTCATCCTGATCCTGGCTTCTGTAGCTCACTCTTGACTCACCTGCAGGTGTACAAACTCTCACTTTTAAAACAAGGGAGGAAGTAAACAGCACCCACACCACCCCTTGGCCAGATTCCACTCAGTTCTCTCCTTCAAAGATGATGGATGGGGGCTGGGGATTTAGCTCAGCGGCAAAAGCGCCTGCCTGGCAAGCGCAAGGTCGTGGGTTCGGTTCCCGGTACCGGAGAAAAACCAAAAAAAAAAAAAAAAAAAAACAAAGATGATGGATGGACCCTTGGGGTGGGGATCCCGCTGACTGCTAATCACTGAGATCTGCTTTTGCTTTTAATTTTCAGGTTCTGGGCATGTCTATGATGAATAAGGTATGAAATGGTGACTCGGTGGTAGATGGATGGCAGCTGATAGATAGATAGATAGATAGATAGATAGATAGATAGATAGATAACAAATCATGCTCATTTAAAATATCTCAAGCATCGATGGCCTCTTGATTTGATTCCAATGGAAAGGGTTGCAATACCATATATAACCAATTACTCTGATTCTGAAGCCAGGATTCATGAGCCCAATCAAGGACAAAACAAGGAATTCTGCTGTGGCTCCATGTGGTTTATAACATGAGCTGTAAATGGGATAGGCCCCATCAGTGGGCTGTGATATCAAGTTAATAAGTCACAAAGACCAAAAACATTTCAATGAAAAAAGTCATAAGGGGAATAGAAAGTTTTGTGCTATAATGTCTGTTTCTTCTTTGTAAGAGAGAATCTTTTTGGTCTATGTTCTGTGCTCTTGAGTTACTACTTTGAAAATGATGCATGGTGCATTGACTATGGTTGTTCTCTTATTTTGTTATGAAATTTTGTTTTACTTTTTCATAAAATAAAAAATAATAAAACTCTTACCAAAAACTGTATTAAATATAGCAACAGTAAATACCTTTTCATTGAGTTACGTATTAGACATATGCTGGGTAGGTAAATCCTGGATTAAAATATGAACCATTTTCTGTGTGGGCTTATGGTCAGAGATGTGAAAGCCCGTACTCTAGAGAAACCTCAGTCTGTGATCGGGTGGGAGTGGGGTAATCTTTGCTTTTCAATTTCCCTGTAATTTATTACCTAGATTAGGGCTGAGAGGTCAGAGGAAGCAAAGATTCACTACAAAATTAGGTCGCATGTTTATGGACCTTGCTGTAGTGCCTAAGCTTTTAGCTTGGACTGAGAGTCATTTCACTTCAGGACATGGATCTGCAGATGAGTTTCACAAGAAGCATCACTGAGATCAGCATTGCTGTCCAAGACGCTGAGGACCAGGGCTTCCAGTTTTCCTACAAGGAGATGCTAATCGGCCAGATGCTGGTGAGTGTGTGGAGAAAGAGGAAGGCAGGGCCTGGATTATCCCGCTTACAAACCGGGAAGACTCCCAGGCACATAACGGATCTCCTGATTCTCGTGTACCCAAACTTGGAGCTGCCTCTAGGAACTCCCATGAGGCCTTTTCAAACATTCCACTGTCTTGGGTTGCAGGACTTCATTCGGGATGAGCCCCTGGATTCCTTAGCCAGCCCTATTCGGTGGAAAGCCTTGATCGCCATCAGATACCTAAGGTAGAGAAATTGTTATTCTCATTGAAAAGGTTTTGCTCTCCCTCCTCCTCTCCCTGGCCGACTGACAGATCTATCAGCTCAGTGTGGACCCCCATGCCCCGCCCGAGTGGACACAGTCCACAGTTTCCAAATAGGAGCGTTGTCTCCTTTTAGCTACCACGCTGCCTGAGAAGCTGCTCATTCGATGACTGATGAGACAGAGAGCTGCTCAGCAGACTAAGATGACTGATAGATGAGACGGAAATTTCTGTGCAAAAAAAAATTTTCGTCCCACATCTTGGCCTGCAAGCAAATTTTAATCGTCCTATTAAAAACTTACAGAAGCCTTAATCACATACTAGTTGGTTAACAAAAAACCTGAGGAAGAAAATAAGTTTAAGCAAGATTTTTATCAGATTTCCCACTGAAGTAAAATAAATACCAGTTTATTGTTTAAATGTGGAAACTATCTAAAAATTTAAAATAGTAGGCATTTATAGTTACCCTACAATTAACATTTTGACATTCTTCCTTTAAGTGTTTATTTCTCGTCCCGTTTTGATTGCAAAGTTGAGATCCTATTTTACATGTGATTGTTTACCCTGCTTTTGCTAATTTCATGCTATATATTCCAACATTCGAAGTTCTTCACAAACATTTTTAAATTTTTGTTGATGTTTAATTGTGATAAAATATACTACATAGCATTTATCATCTTACCTTTAAGCGTTCCAATTAATAGTGTTAAGTACCTTCACGTTGTTGACAAATCAATCTCCAGAACTTTTTTATCCTGTAAAACTGGAACTCTATGCTCAGTGAACAATAACTCCTCTTTCTCTTCATCCCAAGCCACTGGCAAGCACTCACCACCCTATTTTCTTTGTCTGTGAATCTGTCCAGATACTTTAGCGGGTGGGGATATGTATTTTAGAGGGTGGGGATGTAGCTCCGTGGTAAAGCACTTGTCTAACATTCATGAAGCTGTGGGTTCAATCGCCAGTACACAAGAAAGAGAGAAAGAAAGAAAAACGAGGGAAGGAAGGAAGGAAGAAAGGAAGGGAGGGAGGAAGGAAGGAAGGAAGGAAGGAAGGAAGGAAGGAAGGAAGGAAGGAAGGAAGGAGAAAAACAACAACATAAACAGATACCTTACGGAAGTGAAATCATATGGTATTTGTCTTTATGTGATGGATTTATTTCACTTATAATGTCCTCAAGATCCACCTGTGCTACTAGAACATTAATCATTTTGAGGCTAAATAATACTTTATTTTATGTACTAGATGTGATCAAAACATATAGTGAATGTTTAAATTTTAAAATTTTATTACAATAAAACACACATTGTAATTAATACTCCTTGAAACACTCCTGCTCTTTTAAAATACATTTATTCCATTGTTCTTGCCACTTTCTAAAGCTATTTTGGAACTAATCCTTCATGGCTGTCTTTAGTAAGTCTCTTAGTCACTTTCCTGTGACCAGACACAGTATTCAACACCTAAAACTGGAAGGAGGAAACGTTAATTTTGGCTCACAGCTTGTACAGGTTTCCGTCCATAGTTGGCTCCCTCCCTCTGTGGCAGGGAGGCATGGAAGAGGCGCATTACAGAGGACAAAGAACTCCTGGCACAGTGACCGAAAGCAGAGAGGGATAAAGGGTGCGGAAAAGGAGACAGACCCACACCCCCAGTGACCCATCTGCTCCGACCAGGCTTCACCTCCCAACATCACTTTCACTATGAACTCATCAGTAGAGTACTCTGTTGATGAATATCATGGCCCCATGATTCTGCCACCTCTTGAAAGTAGACAAAGTGGACATAGCTTTGGGGTGACACAACACTCTAATCCACAACACTAAGTGTGATCAAAACTACAACAAATGCTCCTGCCAAGTGCCATCCTTGGAAGGGCAGGCTGTTAGAAATATTATGGTGTGTCCTCGTTCACCATATTCACCAAATCTGGCATGGTGCGAATGCTGACTTGTCCCTAAAGTCAAAATAATCATTAAAAGTAAATATTGGAAATCAATTCAGCACACTGAAGCAGCCGCAGCAGTACAAGTAAAGGCATTCACAAAGGGGAACTTCCAGAACTGCTTCCCAAAGTAGCAAGGATGATGAGATGAGGGTGTTAAAAGAGAACGGGAGTGGTTTGAGGATAATTAAGGGCAATGTATCTTGAACTGGGATAATTTTTAAAATACTCCAATGTTTCTTGTACTAGAATAATTTTTAAAAATAATTTAAATAATCATTATATTTGTAGATCACACCTTATATGTACTACACTTTATTATTCATTCATCTGTCCATGAACACTTGGGTACTTCAAAATTTTAGTTTAAGGGAATAATGTTGTTTTGCATATAGTTGGGTAAATATCTATTCAAGATATTTCAATTATTTGGGGGCATACCTTAAAGCCTTGGATCATATAAAAATTTTTTTTTGAGAAATCATCATATTGTTTTCCATAGCCATGGCACCATTTTAGAGTCCCATCAACAGCTCATGGGAGTTTCTCCACATTTGCATCCATATTTGTTATTTCCTGGTGTTTTTAAGATAATCTTCCTCATTTGAATGAGATATCATCTAATTGTGGTTTCAGATTTGCATTTTCCTAATAATTAGTAATATTGAGCATCATTTCATGTGTTTGTTGGCCATTTGTATATCTCCTTTAGAGAAATGTCTGTTCTAGTCTTTTGCCCATTTGTTATATCAAGTTTTGTTTATTTGTTTTTTTGTTTGCTTTGCTGAGTCATAGAAGTTCTTTATCTATTCTGGAAACTAAACCCTTATCAGATACATGGTTTTCAGTATTTTCTCCTGTAGGTTTCCTTTAACTCTGTATGTGTCCTTTGATGCATGGAAGGTTTTACATTTGATGTAGGTCCATTTGTCTATTGTTGCTTTATTGCTTGCATTTTTGGTGTTATTTTCAATAAAACATTGCAAAATCTAATGCCATAAATCATTTTTCCTATGTTTCCATCTAAGAGTTTAATAGTTTTAGCTCTTACATTTAGATCTTTGAATCACTGTGAGTTGAGTTTTACAAATATTATAATAAAGGGTCTCACTGCATCCTTTTCCATCTAATTCCCAATATTTGCAGAACAGTTTATCTTCAGGCTACAAGGCAACAATAAATAAATGAGTTTATATCAGACCAAAGGGTACTATACTGCAGAAAAAACAGTCAACAAAATGAAAATGCAAACTAGGGACTAGGGAAAATATTTACAATCTATATATTTTATAGAGGCTTAATATCCACAATTTATAAAGAACTCATACAACTCAATAGCAAGAAAACATATAATTTCATTTTTAAAATGGGCAAAGATCACATGCAGACATTTCCCCAAGGAAGATATAAAAATGTACAGCAATTATATATAAAGGTGCTCAACATCATCAATTATGAGGAAAGTACAAACCAAAACCGCCGTGCGATAGCACTTCACACCCATCAGGTTAGATATTATCAAAACATGATATTTTTTTTCATTATCTGTTTGTTTCTTTTTTGTAAGAATCTTTTTGGCTTAGGTTTTGTACTCTAAGTAGCTACTTTGAAGGTAAGGAGAAGCAGTTTATTAATTATTTCTATCCTTTTATTTTTGTTATGAACTTTTGTTTTACCTCTTCACAAAATAAAGATGTAAAAAATGGACAAGCGCTGGTGAGGATATAGAGGAAAGGGAGCCCTGCGTTCTGTTGGCAGGAAAGTATATTGGTGTAACTAATCTTAACAGTAATGAGATATAATTATTTCTGAAAAATACATTTTGGCCCGGGGTGTAGCTCAGCAGTGCAGCAACTGCCTGGGAAGAGCAGGACCCTGAGTTCGATTCCTGGTAACAAAAAACAAAACAAAGAAACATTTTGTTAGTACTGTAGTTTGTACCCATGACGTTTACATTCAGCTTAGGGAGTGAGTACCCGTACTTAACATGTCTTGATTCTTTTCATTATCCTTCCCTTTCTGGCCCACCTCCCTCCCTCCCTCTCTAGATCCTCTACCACCATTCTCATTATTATTGTTATTTTTTAAGTTCATGTTTGATCGCATTCATTGTGAGTAATTGGTACATCTTAAATCTTTTCATATCTCCTTTTCCTCCCTCTCCCTCTCTGCACCCTCAGTTTTTTGGTCTTCTCTCCATTTGTGAAAGATCTTTTTTCCTGTTTCATTTTATTAATCTTTTATTTTGTTCTTTATTTGTACTATGAATAAGTCAAATGAGAAACCATATGGTATTTAAGTTTGTATGTCTGATTTATTTCACTTAGCATTATGTTTTCAAGGTGTACCCGTTTTCCTACAAATATCTCAAATTTACCTTTGTTTATACCTGAGTAGTATTCCATTATGTATAGATACCACACTTTCTTCATCCATTTATCTGTTGATGATCATGCCATATATTTCCAAGATTTACCTACACAATTTTAAATTGTGGTGCTATAATTACTGGTATGGTCATATCACTGTAATATGTGATATGTAATATGATATCTTTAGCTCTTTGGGGAAGATATCTAGAAGGGCAGTAATTAGGTCAAATGCAAGTTTTATTTTTAGTTTTTTGAATCATCTCCATACTGATTTACATAATGATTGTACTAGTTTATATTCTCACGAATAAACATTATTAAGTCTTCTAATTCATGAAGACAGATGTCTTTCCACTTGTTTGTGTCTTCAGTTTCTTTCAAAGATGTGTTATGATTTTCACTATGCAAGTCTTTCACTTTTTTGGTTAAGTGTATTCCTAAGTGCTTTATTCTTTGTGATTCTCCTATAAATGGAATTGCTAATTTTTTTCAAATTGTTCACTTTTATAGTACAGAAATTAAGTTGATTTTGATGTGTTGATTTTGTGTTCTGTAATTTCCCTGAACTTATTTGTTCTAATGGTTTTTTGTAAACTTTAAGGGTTTTCTATTTATAACACCATAGACCTCTTCCTTTCCAGTTTGGATGGCTTTTTATATTTCTTGCCTAATTTCTCTGGATAAAACTACTACTATGCTAAACAAAAGAGAAAATTTACATATTTTGTCTTTTTCTTAGTCTTGGAGGCAAATTTTTCAGTCTTTCACCATTGAATAAGATGTTAGATACAAGTTTTCAATATATGATATTTATCAATGAGGCAAAAAACATCATTTGTAATGAATATCTGATGATCTACTGTATAAAATGCTTCATGTTACTTCCCCAGTCTCCTACTGTTATATTTAATTGTTGCTTATTTTAAAACATATAAATAATAATTTGAAACACACTTTTGTACAAAACATATTTTCTGAACATCTAAGCATAATAGTTGACAATTTTTAATGGGTTACTGACTGGCATCTCTGTCATACCAGTCATTGACCTAGGATCTAAAACAATATTAATGGATAAAATATAGCTCTGCCCTGAAGAAGTATTTCCCTACTAAGAAAAATAAATTCAGCACATGCTCACATAATCTCTCTGAAGGCAACATGAGAAACGTACAGGTTACCAGGTTAACAAAGACAAGAGAAATCTCATATAAATAAATCATAAGGCTGAATTAGAAATGTACTAGGCTCTAGATCAATGTCACTGAATATACATGTAAGTTTTACATGTCATTGAAAGTGTTCTAGTAAAATGTCTTTAAATACTGAACAGAAATTAAATTAATTTTAATAATTTGTGTTATTGCACTTAATTCAATATATTCAACATAGTGTTACTTCAACATGTATTCAATATTTAAAATCTGCATTATCCTTCATTTTAAATCTTTGAAATCCAGCATGTTTCACACTGCCATTACATCTTTTGGTGTCTTTTTTATTTTTGAGACAAGTTCTCACGAGGTTACCCAGGCTGGCTTCAAACTTGCAGTCCTCCTGCCTTAGCCTCCCCGCTAGCTGCCATTACTGGTGTATGCTACCATGCCTAGCCTAACATCATATCATAATTCATACTGCCCACAACTCACGTTTTAGGTGAGCACATGTGGCTAGGGGCTACCGTTGCTTAGATCAGGTAGTTGTAGAACTTGAGGACTGATCTCTGGTGACAAAAAACAAATTAGTGGTTGTCTGAGGCCAAGGTGGAGGAAAAGATGAACAGCAAAAAGGCATAAAAGAGGACTTGCAGAATGATAGAAATTTTCTGTATTATTACCGTGGTGTTTCCATGGGTCTATACATCTGTGAAAATTCATTAAATTGTACAGTTTTAGTGGGTGCCACTTGCTGTACATATATTTTACCTCAGTAAATTGATTTTTTAAAAGGAGTCAGACAATAAGGAGGAGAACAATCTAGAGTTTTCCCAAATAGTACTGAATCTTATTACTCTCTGGAGGAACTTATTTTCATGATTTCCTAAATAGTATCATCTTTTTTATTTCTTTGTTAATTTGATAGCTGATACGTGCTTATCTATTATCTCAATTTACATGTATCTAATAACAAATGGAGTTTTAATATTTATTGAATATTTACACTTTCCCAAGTCAGGTCAACTTTTGTTCAGGCCGTCATTGTTTCTAATCAATAGTAAATGTGTAAAGGAGGGAAAGAAAAGAACGGAGGAAGGAAAAAAGATTCTTGTGTTGCTTAATCACTCAGGCATTCATACAAACTGACAGCAGTGAGTAAAAAACAAGTGGTCATAAGAAAGGGATAAAATTCACTGCCAAAGGCTTAGAAAATAGTTGAGGAAACCGCTCTCCTGTCTCTGTCACTCTCTGTCTCCCTCGGTCTCTCTCTGTCTCTCTCTCTCTCTCTCTCTGTCTCTCTCTCTCTCTCTCTCTCTCTCACACACACACACACACACACACACATACATACATACAGTGGAGAGAGAGAATGGATAATTGTATCACAGGTTGTATGATAAAGTGTTCATGCAAAATAGATGAGGATTTGTACCTCCCTGTAATAACTTAAGACTGGGGCATATTGATTGTGCTCACCAAAGTGTTCTGGTTCTATGTCCCCAGTCTGTCCATGCTCCTCTCATTCCCTCCCTGGACATCTCGACATTTCAGAAAATGAGATACATCTATCACATGTCCAGATTTGATAGACAGGTTTTGGCAACTCTGCAGGGTAGGCTGTGTTTGTAGTTGTAATATATATATATTCCTGCCCATGGTTCTCATTTCAGTAAACTGAAACCTCAGCTTCCACTCAATGAGCACCTCAACATCCTTGAAGAGAATATTCGAAGGCTGCTGCCCCTTCCTCCTCTAGAAAAGCTCATAAGCCAGGGTGAGACAGACAACGACAAGGAGCACATTGACGTACGTGGCAGTAAGGACCAGGGGGATGAGGGATGGTCTTGGGACTTCCCTCTCTCACGGCAGCCGCGCTCACACTCACATCCGATATCAGTTTCTGTACGAACGGTCCATGGATGCTCTGAGTAAACTTCTGAGGACCATGATGTGGGACGACACGAATGCAGAGAACTGTCAAGAGATGTTTAACGTGAGTAGGATCACTTGCGCTGACCCCCTCACGTCCTACTCTGTCCTCCCCGTGTGCTGTGAGAACTCCCACCTCATTCTTCACAAGGGGAGAGCCAGTGTGACACCCTCACCCCACCACAGAGGGCCAGTCTTCTTAAACACTCTTTGTGGGGATGTGGGCACCGTTTCAGAGGCGACAGAGTGACAGGGACCCTGAGAGAGAGAGGGAGAGAATGCCACTAAATGAATATGAAGAATACCAATGAAAGGCCATTTGTTCTCCATCAACAGCTTCTCCGAATGTGGCTTGTTTCACCAAAAGAGTGGGAAAGAGAAAGAGCATTCCAGATGACGGCAAAAATACTGACAAATGATATCGAGGCAAGTGATCCCGCAGAAACAGACTCCACAGGGACTTCTGAGGCAACTCCAGCCCCAAACTCCTCTCCTGCCTGAGGGATCTGGAGCCTCAGAGCGAAGGGCCTCCCAGAGTCCTCCTGAGTGGTTCCTCTAACTCCGGACTGCAGCAAGCACCCTAGAATTAAAACAGCTACTACTGTCTTAGCATTCTTGCTTGTTTGGTCACTTCTCAACTGCCAGTAAGAAGTCAGACACATTTCAGGGAAGTTTTTGATTCAATTTCATTTTAAGGGCCTGAGAAAAAATAGGGGACTTGAGATCTGGTGCAGGGAACAAGCGGGGACATTATGAAGCCACCTCGTCTTATGGAAGCCTCCTTTGTCCTACAGGCACCAAAAAACTTCAGGATCGGTCCACTTCTGGGGCTTCTGGCTCCTCACTCCTGCGACACCCTGCCCACCATCCGTCAGGCAGCTGCGAGTTCAACCATTGCTCTGTTTTGTATGAAAGGTGAGAGAAGGGTGGGAAATCCATAGATGCAAGGAAGTCATCTTCTCTGCCTCCAGTTTTTCTCCTTGCACACCTGTGTCTCTGTCATCTCCTGTCAGGATTCCTCGCCACTTCTGTAGTTCACTCTTTTCAGTCCTAATACCATAATTATAGACAGAATCTGCTTCTCTCTTAGACTGGAGTGAACTGAAGTTTTTCTCAGTAGCTCTGTTTCCCTGGTGTTTTTTTTTTTTTTTTTTTTTAAGTATAACACTGAAGCATTATAAACATCCATTACAATAGGTTAAATATTTTGAAAGTCCCTAATTTGAATTACTGAGCAATTGGGAATATTAGCAATGCTTCCTTATCACATTCTTTTCTTCAGGAGAAAACTGGACTATTGTAACAATTCTAGGTAACTTTCAAAGTTCCCGAAGTGAGAAATTTGTGGACGTTTCTCCAGTTTACTAATCAGGCCTCCTCGTGTTTTCCAAGTATACATGAAAAAATATCAGTACCAGAAAATATTAAGATATTTTAAAACAGGCTGAAACCTACAATCAGGGCCACCCGACCAGGTTAAGTCATGCAGTGTTTCATCAGTGACAGTCCTACATTGAACGGAGTCAGATGTAGCCTGGAGCACCCAGTCCTGGTTTAATGTCATCTCATATGCAAGTTCAACTCATCGTTCTTTTAGGAACTCAAAATATTTACTGAGTTCCTTTCCATGTGTCAAGAACTACTTTGACAGTGATCACAGAGATATTACAAGTCTAAGAGTCACATAAGAAATGTACATTAAAGCCAAAAGGTCAGATTCGGTTGAGGATGCCTGAGGTTAGTCATCAGTCCAAAGAAAACACTGTTCAATAACATTAGAGTACATAAGAAGTCCTTTGGGATATGGGAAGATGGTTCATTAAAGGTATATGCTTTGGGCCAGGGATATACCTCAGTGGTACAACCACCTGCCAGGCAAGTATAAGGCCCTAAGTTCAATTCCAGGTACCAAAAAAATAAGTAAATAAAGATACGTGCTTTGCCCAATCCAATTCTTAAAAAAAGGAAAAAGTGACAACTAAAGAACCACTCAAAAAGAGAAAACCTGTATGAGAAAGGGAAATGTAAGCAAAAAAGAAATTTGGATTCCATTATTGTTCTGCCTGTTCCTTCTGTAGGCTATTTTATTTTATGTGCATTTTTTGTGAAATACACAAAAGTCAAGTTCTCTTACATTCTTTGTTAACAAGAAATCTCATACAGCATTAACTGTTTCTTCAGTTAATCAATAAGCATTGTAGATGGACAGAGAAAAGTATTATTCAACACCTTCTAGGCACAAGTAACTAGCACAATACTACATTAAATACCCAGGATTACTTATGAATGTTAATCAGTTTTAAAATTAAAGATAAGAAAGTAAGAAAGATACCAGTTAGCTGGTCCACTGAAAATAATGTAGCTGGGCTTGGAGCCCACATATGTCTGACACCTAAATCCATGTTTGCTGTATTGAGCTAGGCTGCCTTCCACAGAATGGTCCACATGTTAGTTTCTACAACTGATATGCATTCAACAAGCAGAAAATTGTTACTGTTTAAGTCTGTGTTTAAAATTGAAATCATGCCAAAAAATTTTTATAATGTACATATATAGATATAGATGATATATAGATAGATATAGATAGATATAGATATCAACAATCACCTCGCTGATGTAAACTTCCTGTTACAATTTTAACATTTTAATTTCCCCCAAGGTGGTTCACTAAAAACTGAAACCTCAAAAGACATAGCAGTAGAGGAAATCATTACAGCTTGGGCATTTGTGTTAGACACACCAGGGTTCAAATTCTAATTCCCTTCTTTTTACTCCCTGTTTGACTTCGGGTAACTGGCTTCACAAATCTCTGCTCTAGGTTTTCCATTTGTAAAATAGGGAAAACAAGAGGAGGTTCTACTTGTGATGGTCTTTATGAGTGATAAATGAGACCATTGCATGCAGACTATTTAGCATGGTTCCCACGCTTGGGATCAGGCTGATTTAGCGCTTATGTGCAGTGTCTCATCAGGCAGCCATTGGTGTTGGTCAAAGAAATCCAAGAGCAGAATTAGTGTCACATCAAAATGCAGCCAGGCTCCTCTTCAGCTCTTTCTGGCTCTCTGAAGCCTCGTGTACTTCTCCCTGTGTTGACTGCAGGCGTTCATCTGGAAGTGGAAAGACTGCAGAATTTACAAGAGGGGCTAGGATGCAACGACATGCAGGTCCAGATCAAGATTTCCTCTAAAATAGCTAAGGTAACAAGGGTGGAAGACTGGCCAAGTGACATAAAGAGATTCGGGTTAATTTCCAAAGGGGTAAGCTAGAGACTCCCCATTCTGAATGAAGGTAATAGCTCAGACATCCAAGCTAAGTGAAAGACATTTTGCCCTGTCCTTTCACTTTAGGTGCATGTGCCTACTCCACACCTGCTCTACATCATGTCATACTGTTGGAAACTTAGTGAACAAAGTAGCTTTCTCAGGGTGTGCGATGCAGTGGGGTAGAGTGGAAGGAACAATATATATTGCAATCATATAAGTAATAAAACTTCCTTATTTTACTTTTTAACTTAAGTTATTCTACAAAATAACACAGCAAGCCCAAGTTATAATTAAATCAGAAAACTAACATGTCGGCTTAATAACAATAAATCCGCTTTACAGGCACACACATGCAGGCAGGTTCAAATGTGACCACTGGTAATCCCTTTTTAGTTGCAAAGTCATGAATCTGACACACTCAGGTTTCACCAGGACTGACTGCGTGTGGCAGATGCCACAGTGCTCATGCTCCCCTACAAAAGTTCCATTGTTACCTACATGGTCCTTGCTCTGGAGTGTGTAATCAAGCCATGAAAAACTGCTAAACATCACATAACAATAGGAAAAACAAGAGGACATTCTATTTCTGATGGTTAAAAGTTTGCAATCTTGTGGGCCCACATTACTAGCTGCCCAGGGCTGTACGCAGCCCACAAACTGTGGATTGGACATGCCCACTCTTGTTAGGGCAGACAAAGACAAAAATCCTTTCCTTCACTGAGACTACATGCTGAAAGGGGTCTTGAAACTTAATATAACATCAAGTAATGATAGTTGAGAAAAAGTCAAACAAGGGAATAAGGGGAAGATGATCCTATGGAGAAAGACTCTTTGAAAAAAAAAAATCATGCAACTCCCTGAGGGAAAAAAGTATTCCAGACAGAGACAAAATAGTAACTGCAAAGGCCCTGAGGTCAAGAAAGAGATAACGAAATGTAAGAGATAGGAGGGCCCAATTTAAGGGCTTTACAGATCTTATTAAGGTCATTAATTTTTACTCTGGTTGAAATCTGCTTGAGCAGAACCATCAGGACCAATACATGCAATATAAAAAGAGCCCCCTCACTTAAGGCAGGGTTACCCAGAGTACACATATGTATCACCATTTTCCACAGATGGTAGTAAAGTCAGTACTTTGTGACAGCATATAAGGCAAAGTGAAAAATCTTCAGGACAGGCTGCATCATCCTGGTTTGGAAAGATCTGCAGGAGCTAGTGGTGCTCCTGACAGGAGGTCAGGCTCACTTTCATGCAGAGCTGCTACAACTGCTGTGGGGAAACTAGACATAGCCTGAGAAAAGCAAAATGAATGAAGTGAGTTTGAACACCTGCAAGAATCCAGGCATTAGGTGAGTTAGCGTAGACCAAGGTGGCAGCAGCAGAGACAATGAGAAATTGGTGAGAACAGGGGAGAGAAGCCAACTGGGGGCCATAGCACAAAAGTGATGCTCTAGTCCTTTAATTGTGGAATTGTGATAACTGAATACACCTGGCATGCACAAGTGTTCACGGGAAAGAGCCCATTTCTCCTCAGTAAAATGCCATTGGACCACTCGATGCAAGAAGAAAGTCAGTATGAGCAGCTCTGTCTTCAGGTGCACGAGTCATCACCACCTCGCTTAGCTGAAACCCTAGTGTTCCTGGAACTCACTGAGGGCCGCCACCTTCTGCCTGCTCTCAGCACACACACAGACACGCACACTCACATACGCACGCTGCTGTCAGTCATTTCTATAGCTCTTTCACCTAGAGATCAAAATTGCAAGGCTTTATTGGATTGACCTCTCATTGACTGCTCTTAAGATTGAAGCATAAAGACCAAAACACAGAGCCCATAAAAAGCCATTCTCCGTATGGATCTGTCAGCCACCTGGAAATTCAATGTGGCACTCAGTGAGATAGACTTGCATGCATTACCAAAGTTTTGCTATTCTTTGACAGACCTAAGGCATATTTCTGTGATATATGAAATATATGTGACAGTATTTCACAACATACAAACTGCTATATAAATATTATGCATTATATTTCCCATCTGCAGTTTGCTATGACATTAGGTTTAGAGAGGAAATTGCCTCTGCAGGATAGAGATTCAATAATATGAAATGACAAAAAGACAACAAACACCAGGAAAAGATTAGAGGTAAGAGGTCAGGCCTCTGTCCTATTTCCCCCCGTTTGGAGGCCTCAGCTGTCTGCTGTTAGGAAAGCCCAGTGATTTTCAATATCATATCACGGTCAACAGTAGCAAGTTGTGGGTGTCTGGATATAAAGTGAACTATTTAGCAACATGGGTCTTTCTGGGTGCATTCTCAGATTGTCTGTAGATTCATCCCAGCTGAAGACATTCAGATGTTCTTGGAGGAAACTCTGGATGGCCTGGAAAGCCTCAACCCTATGTGCATGAAGGCCTGCAGCATATGGATGATTGCAGCCCTGAAGGAGCACGGAGCTTCTCTGGAACATCAGGTGAGCTGACAGCTGGTGGCTGAGTCGAACAGCATTAGCGCCCTTCTGAAATGCCAGGGCCACCGCTGTCCTGCGATGGGCCACGGGCAGGAGCACACTGAGCCGCAGAGGCCTCCAGGGAGTGCTGTGCACGCAGGCTCCTGCTGCGGGCTTTCTCCACTGCCTCTCTGCTCCTTGGCGTGAAAACTTTAGATGATGCCTCTCTCTGGCTGGAGGAAGTGGCTCTGAACAAGGCCATTTGGGTTATGCAAATCAGGGCTGTTAGATCTCCCAGGAGGAGCGTGGCCAAGTGGATGCATTTGAGACGGCCATCAAAGCCAAGAGAGCTTCTCTCCCCCTGCAGCTCTTCAGGCTTTTCTTTCTTGCCCTCAGGGTGTAAGGCTGCCTGTAGTTTGGGGGAAAGTCCTTGGTCCTTCCTCCCAACTAAATGTGAGCAGAGTGAACAATTAAAATTCAGAAAGCTTCGCTAAGAGCTCCAAATGGAGACACCTGTATCCTGTCTTCTGAGTCACACAGAATAGAAGCTATTCAAACATTAATAAGTAGAAAGGAAGCTTTGAATGAAGGTATTTCAAGTAGGAAAGAGAAAAAAGTGCTTGTTTCCATCTCTTCTAGCCAATCACTTTTGATTTAAAAATTCTCCAAAATATAACTTTTATGTAAAGGAATTAAAAGTTACCCCTGTGCTACCCAGGTATGGTGGCACATGACTTAATTTTAGCACTCTAGATCACAAGATCAACACCAGCCTGGGCAACAGAGAACTCAGTAACTTAGCAAGACCCTATCTCAAAATACAAAATAAAAAGGGCTGGGAATGTAGCTCAGGCCAAAGCCCTGAGATGAACCCCTGATGTCACAAAAAGAAAATAAAAGAGGGAGGGAGCAAGGAAGGGAGGAAGAAAAGAAGCAAGGAAGGGAGGGAAGGAAAAGAAAATACTTCTGTGCTAATTACTTTCCAATACATTGTTTTAAAACCATTTATTGAGCACATCCTATGTGATAGACACTGGCTAGGCATGGCAGAGTCAAGGCTGATAAACATGGAATGCCCATGTATTTGTGTGTTTAGGAAAAGTTTGTTTTACACAGAAGATAAGGTTTGTGTTTTGGAAAGTGTATAACGACATATATCCACCGCTATATCATGCAGAATAGTTTCAGTACCCTAAAAATCCTCTATTTTCTGCCACTTTTTTTTTTTTAATTTTAAATCTTTACTGGTGTTTTTCTGACAAGGATACCCTCCTCTTCCATTTCCACTTTGCCCTTTGAAATTGTTACACACACTTTAAGACCCAGGCCCAATGCTCCTCCCAATGAGTGCAGTCACCACCTTCTGACTGCCCGGAGTGCATTCCTGTGTCATGTGTGGTTGATCATTTTTGGAAATAAATTTCTTATCAGCTCCAAAGCATACCTAGGTATCTATATTCCCAAATTAACAATCAAGATATCCAGAGGACGCTTTTTGTAGAAAACACCAGTTCTAACAGGCAGCCTTTGCTGAGTCACTGCTCTTTTTGCAAAAGGGCTCCCTCTCTTCTGTGTTCAGTGCCTTCTCACAGTACCTAGCACAGCACCTGTGCCATGCACTCGTGCACTGGACTTTCGCGTAACTGAACTAAGAATACACATGCAATTCTTCAACAGTCTTCATGAGTGAGAAATAAGCCGTGTGCAGAATCAGTTATTGTCTCTAATTATATTTATAACCCATCAAGCTCCCACCCACACTGTGCTGATGGTACCTTCTCTGGGCTGCTCATGTAGAAAGGAAATGAAAGCTTAATATTTTGTTTGGCTTCTTTTTAGTTACTGGAGATCCTGAGCACAATTTACCATCACATGCCAGTTCTCAGACAAAAGGAGGAAAGTTTTCAGTTTATGCTAGAAGCTGTCTCGCAGATAGCCAGCTTCCACATGAATGCAGTGGTTGTCAGCCTTCTACAGAAGCCTCTGCCCTTTGACAGGTAGACTCTACCTTGACTGGTCTCTTCCTCAGGAAAAGCCACTCCACAAAAATTATTGTGGAAAGAACTATTGTTTAGAAAATAAAGAATGAAAACATCTCCCCTGCGCAGTTTAAAAATTGGTATTTCACTCACAAGCGATGTTTGCAAAGTATCTTTATTGAATAATAATTAGGTGGGTTGTGGTTTGTTTTTTTTAAAAAAAGGTTCACCATAGGAATAAGTGCATTTTAGAAAGTAAATATTCCTTCCCTGCCTAGTTGATAAAATGCATCTATTTGAGAGTTTTTCATCTTGATGGCCATTAACAAACCTCAGTAAACCTAAGACCAGGGTGCTGAACTGTTAAATAAACCATCATTATCTCCTGGCATGGCAACCCGTCCATCTGCCCTAGAAATGATCAGGCATCCTGTGGGCTTAGAGTGAGTCAGATGGAAAGCTCACAGTCCGGGGACTTGTGCCTTATATATCAACTTCCTGCCTTGCCTCTCCAGGGACACAAAAACCCTGTGGAAGGCGCTGGCAGAAAACCCAGCCTCCAGTGGCAAACTCATTCGAGCTTTGACAGACAAACTGCACACCAGGTTAGAAGACGACATCGCCGGGACAGATGCAATTTCAGTGAGTTGGACATTTTATCACTTGCCTGGAACTGTGCCTTATGCCATAATCTACTCCCCCATGGAATACGGAGCTGTAGCATTCATCACATTTCTCCTTTCACATCCTAACTTTACTCCTGCTTGTAAATTTGTCTGTGGATGATCATTTTTGGAAGCGAACTTCTCACCAGCCCTAAAACTATGAGCCTATATTTCCAAATAAGCCTTTGAGATCGCCAAAGCAACATTTTGTGTTGAAAAACTGCAATGCTGAAAAACATTCCATCTTCCATAACAGGTGCCACCTGGAAGCTGTGGTGCCAACACAGCAGTCCTGAGAGCAAAACACAGCCCGCATCAAGTTTACAGACAAACAGCCCTCCCTTTTGTGTGTTTCACCCTGAGTATTATCAATGTGGAAAATAATCACTGGAGATGAAAACAGACTGGAAAACGTGGCCCAGGGAAAAGATGACCTTCAGGAGAGGAGACCGTCTGACCAGAGCTCCTTTGTCCCCTCAGGTGTCCTGTGCTATGTATGAAGTGGTCTCAGGAGGCATCCCAATCACTACGTTGTATCCAGAGCTGTTCACTCTCCTCCTGAAGCTGGTCAGCTGCACACTGGGCCAGAAGATGCCCACTTCTGCCTTCAGCAGCAGGCGGCGCGTGATGCAACAGGGGGAACGGCAGCAGGACCCAGACCCCTGCAGGTAAATGGCCCAGCAAGGGGCGGCTTCCAGTGTGCTCCTTATCCCAAGCTCCCGAGAGGGGCTGTGCAAGCCAGTGTCAAATACTTCAGAAGAAGCAAGGGTTCCATGATGCTGTGACACCAAGGCTTGTAGTTCTTTTTTTACCAAATGTAGCTGGCCAGATCGAGAACATAAGGAATAAGAGGCTGTGCTTCCTTGCCTGGAGGGCCCACTCTTTCTCTTGTCTCTTTTTGTTAAGATTACTCTAGAAAAGCTCAAATTCTGTGATATTTAAGTTTACTAAGGCAAGAAGAAAAATGGAAAAAATTACCATATGTCATCAAATCTAAGAGTTCAGCAGTTGAGAGAAGCATTATTTTCTGTACCATTCAGAAAAAAAGATTCCCAAATAATCCATAATCAGCTTTCTTATACTTTTAAATTTTCATTTTATGCTTCTCAAAAAGCTCTTTGAGGATTGCTAGGTTTAGATATTCATCCTATATCGTGTTGATTTGTTTCCTTTACCTTTGCCTAACTTTTCATTCCAATGTCATGGTACAACCTTCTAAAAGACTTTTAGATAGCATTTAGACCCCACACATGTAGCTCCAACAACACATGTAACTACTAAAATGACAAAAGGGTAAAGAGCTATACCTAAATCCAAGCACACACATGTGAATGCAGAGATGACAACTATATCACAATTATTGTCTGTCCAACAGCAATTGCACTTCAAATCTACTTTGAAAATGCATCTTGATTTTAAAGGTACTATTTGAGCATGAGGGAAATATCATATTTTTAAATTTCATTCTTAGGGACTTTTTTCTCATTGGGGGGTTGATAAGATTCTATGACATTATTTATTATTTACCAGCTAATGTCATTTGAATATCCCCTTTGACCCAAGATGAAAAAGCATGAGAACAGGGCTGCCTGGTTTTCTGTCCCACACATCCATTAACCCAATTTTAAGAGTACATTCTAGGGAGCAGGAGCAGAGAACTTGGGAAATCACAAGTCTCTGTGTGGTGTTTACTTACGTCTGAGATACCTACCCTTTCCCTTAGGCTCTCAACTGTAACTCTGAAATGCTTGCAAGCCCAAGCCATGCGAGAAGGCCTTGCAAAAGAATCTGAGGAGGGGGAAAATTTATGGACTCTGCTTAGCAATCCTGATACCCATCATACAGGAGTATGCGCTCTGGCCAGGTAATGTGAATATATTGTAGGACTGGGTAGATACCAAGGAGAAAATCAAAAGTAAAGAATGAAAATGTAATACAATCAAATTTGCTAAGAGTAATTGACTGACCTAGGATTTGTAGTCAAGGAGACTATCAGGAAAGAAAGAGGAAAGGTGCCTCAGAAGGGTCCTGGGATCAAACCAAGCTCACCCTTCCCCACAAAAAGAAGCAATTCAAGTGGAAGCTTTAGGCAGGCTACTTTTATTTGGATACTTGATATTTGGATACTTGGTGGTCTTTAATCACATGTTCCTTTTTAGATAAAGTATTGCCTGAGGAATAAATACATTATTTCCTTCCAGTGTTTAGAGAAAAGAACTTTGATAAACTTTGCATTTCCTAGGAGCATGGCAGTCTGGCAACATGCCATCATACTGGACATCATGGAGCATCTCCTCCCCTCTCTCACTTCCTCTTCAGAGAACTACCGCATAACAGGCACAGCTTTCTTCTCTGAGGCAAGCAAGAGCAGCCATCGGTGCATGCTCACTGGGTCCCCTGGGGTATTCTATGGGTCTCGAGCTTAGTGAGAGCTGAATGTGGAAGAGAGACCTTCAAAGGGAGCTTGAGGGAACAACTCCTGCCAGAGATAGCTAGCAGGGACTGGAAGAGAAAAAGGAAACTTCCCCAAACCACCACTGGACATTTGTCTGCAGAAACAAACTTCTCAAGGCAAAAAAGGGAGAAAAACAAATTTGGGAGGGACAAAACAAAAAGTGATCAAAATAATACCCTTCCAATTCTAGAGTAAAGGCTGGCTCAGCCAGTCCAGAGGAGGAGCACATCAGTAACTGCTGTTGTCCAGACACTGTTGTTCCACTGAGACTAGAAGCATGCTCTGGTCTAGGTATTACTGTTCTCATCACCACATAACCTTGACTGCAGGCTGCTCATATCCAGAGTCCAGACCCATGGGCTTCTTCCTGGGCTCCACAGCAATGAGACCCTCTGTGTGATTGTACTTATGATCCATTTGGCACCCTCCTGAAGGGAGGTCACTTCCTTAACTAAATTGGAGAGGTGTTTTCATTTCAGCTCATGAAGGAGCCAATTCTTTGGAAGCATGGGAACCTTCGAGACGTCCTGATTCTGATGGACCAGAGTGCCTGGGATTCCAATGCCACACTCAGGCAAATGGCTATCCGAGGGCTTGGGAACACAGCATCTGGGGCCCCTCACAAGGCAAGTGGCTGCCACAGGGACATAGCTTCTTGAAGTAGAGTTTTCAAATAATTTACTAATCCACACTTACTATTTGCAAAGAAATCGAAAGCCCCAGTACATTTGCTCAAGTGCTGGCTCTTGGGTTGAAGTATACATAACACTAACAAAATTTCAATTTCCTTGTGTGGATACTTCTACCACATTCCAGACATACAGAAATCAACCTTTGGGATTAAGAGACCTTATTTTGAAATAGGTGAAGAAGCATAAGCAGATAATTTTGGAATCCGTCATCAGAGGCCTGTATCATTTGGCTCGCACTGACGTCGTCTGTGAAAGCCTGAAGGCTCTCAAAAAGATCCTGGAGCTTCTCACAGACAGAGATGTGAGCTTCTACTTCAAGGAGATAGTGCTCCAAACAAGAACCTTCTTTGAAGATGTAAGTGAGTCTGTTTAGGAATCTTCCTTCCTCAGAAGAAGTAAATGAACAGAAAAAGCTTCAGGAAGTGCTTGTATAAGGCGGTGTGAATGTCCTACCAGTATTCCTTGGCCAGCTCAGAGGTCTCCTGCAAAGGATTCCATTCAGGCTGGCGACTTCCTGTGTCTTTCTGCCTGAGGGTGCTTTTGCCCTGGATATCATTATTGACCTAAGCAGAGTGGGCTGGAATTGGTGAGGGAAGAAAACCCTGGGAAGAACCCTTAAATAGTGAGAACCAAGAATCTGGATACATTTCCCACTTTCTCCACACCTCAGAAGGATCGAGTACCACATGCCTGTAAGGTCAGCACACTCATTACTGTTCCCTTTCTTAGCTCTTGTCCCTATATCATGCCTGTTCCACAAACTTGCTTCCTGAACTTACCTCCAGGTGCATAGTACTTGCCCTGAAATCCTCATCTCCGGGTTTGTTTTAGGGAATACAAAAATTAGGACAATATTCACTATGGAATTAGGGCTTGAATAAAGATGACATTACCTTCCAGTACTGTCCTTTCCACTTCCCCAATTCAAAGACTCATTTCATACAGAAATCAGGAGAGTATAGCCCAGGAACCCAATCAAGTCCAGAGACTGTTTCTGTGATTAAAGTTTTATTAGAACATGGGCGCCCTCATTGATTATATATTGTCTATATCAGCTTTCACTGTCCACCAGCTGAATTGATTAGCTGGTAGAGAGCCTAAAATAGTCAACCTTCCTGTCACTGGACACAACACATGACACCAACAACTTAAAGAAGGAGAGGTTTCTTTTGGTCTCCAGGTTCAGCGTATGGTCAGCTGGTTTCAAGTAAGAAATACCACGGCACAAGGGCACGGCAGAGAGAGCTACTAAGTGTGCAACAGCTGGACAGTAGAGCAAGGGAAGACTTCCAAGTGGAAGGGCGAGGAGCCAGCTTAGACCCCAAGGCCACACCTCCATGACGCACCCAGCCACACTTAGACTTCTGCTCTGCCAAGCCCCGGGGTAGATCCCAAAGCCAATCAAGTTGACAGCCCACCCTAACTGCAGCGGAGACCATCTAACCAACAACGTGTAAATTATTTACTGTTGGGCCTTCTACTGAAAGAGTCTGTCAGTATATGATGTAGTACATAGCCCTAAGTTTTCAAAAGATCAGTTGGCAATCCTAGGACAGGAGAGTCATTTCCTTTATACCTTCCAGGAATCTACATTCTAGTATTTATTTTTGTTTTGTTCACCACCATCAATGTAAGACTTCACTTCACAACTTGCACTTGTTATTTTGTGATCTATACTTCTTTCTTCATCTTCTGTTGTCAAAGGAAATGGAGAACTGCTGGTTGACTCTCCTAGTGCTTCCTACATAAACATTAAGGTTTTATTAAATTATTTTTTACCTTCTAGTCTCCATGACTGAAAAGTCTTCATTTCCTTCATTATTCACCATAAGCTAACTTCTTCTACTCAATACATATAAGACAGTGTCTGAGCTCAATCTCTAAATGAATCCTGAACATTGTTGAATAGAATCTAAAGAAAAAAATTACCTATCATCAAGTCCAGCCTTTCCCCATTTATTCACTCTGTTTTTTAAAAATCTCTTTTTGACTCTTGGAAATTTACTAACCATAGAATCTATAGATTTTAATCAGCAATATATGTCTACAGTCAATAGTGCTCAAGTTTTATGTTTTGTGGTTTCCCTAGTTTGTGTACTAGCCTAAGTGTAGCCTTTGAAAACAACTTTCTGCTTTATTCCCACTTTCTCTAGTTTACTAACATTGTCTTCAAATCTCAAATTATTCTCAAAAGTTTTTGCCAGGCTCCCACTCAATTTAGTATCTTTTGTAAAAATAACAAGGACATTGTATTTTTATTATATAGATAGTTTACAGCAATCTTTAACAAAGAACTGAAATCACTCCTAACTGCCCCATGTTTTAGATCTCTTGGGTGGTTGCTGAACTAATACTAAGAATTATCTAGAATTGAGCCTTCAGTCTACACAATAGTTTTTTGGGCAAGGTGATGTTTCTCAGTGCTTTGACAAAGGAAAGAAAATTAAATATTTGGTGATTATTAGGTTAGAACTTTCTTATTGGTACTAGGCATAGAGTCCATCACACTTGCATAAAAATAAACTTTGGAAAATTTAGGTCTTGGTAATGACATGCTACTTAGCGTCAATTGAAGTTGTCTTTCTGCAAGTATATTTAACCCTATGATACTTTGTCCCTATATTTCCCTAAAGATTAAACACAAAAATGTCATCTCCACATTTTTACTGTCCCTTTTTCTCTCTCTCTCCCTTTCTCCCCCCACCTCTCTCTCCTTCTCTATCTCTTCCCTTTCATATATAAATTCTTAGAATTCTCAAAATATACTATGCTTTACTTGCCTTAATGAAATAGTAGAAATGTAAACATGGTTGTCACGTACATACCAGACCCCTTGCCATGTTCCACGCTATCTGAACAAGTCACTACTCCATGACCCATTTTATCAATTGAAAAATGAAGACATTGGACCTGATATATATTTCTTAATATCTCTGTTAACCCTCTAAAATATTATTGCCACTTTTTTTTTCTGCTTTTTCATTATTCTTCCTTTTTTTTGTTTTTTGGGGGGTTTTTTTGCATTTTTTTATTTTAAAGAGAATAAAAAAACAGTAACAAAATAACAACAACATAGACAGAAACAATAAAAAGCATACAGGGTTTCAAAACAAAATAATCTTTCTTTTCACTGATGCGGGAAAGTTTCAAAGTTTTTCTTTTCTTGTTTTAAGTAAATGTGTCTTTACCTTTTGGGTATTTTGCTTTTGGTTTTCTTTAAAAAATAAAAAAGAGAGAGATCTTTTACAAATGCAGTGTATACCTTGACCTTAACCCTAATATATTTAAAGAATCACTTCTGTTTTCATGTCTGTTATTCAGAATATTTACCATTCATTCATTTAGCTATTCTGACCTTTTCCTAATAAGTAATCTTCTTTTGCTGGAATATATCAGTTTCCTTGTTTTACGTTAAAAAGAATAAAAAAACAATAAAAATGATACAAAATTTCAAAACAAGATGATAGGAAATTAACAGTGGTAGTTATATTGCATATTGTTATCTTCAAAGTAGTTGTTCAGACTACCAGATATAGACATGCAAAATTGACCAAACAATTAGGCATTAACTGTTCCTTTCAATAAACCAACAGAAATTAGTAGTACAATTATTTTAACTATCTTGTGTATATATATATTTTTTTCTGTCCCTCTTTCTTTCTTTTCTCCTTTCCTCCATCTCAGTTGTTCTTTCCTTCTGAGCACTTTCTTTCCTTTTCACAATATCTATTGTACCTTTCAGATTTTATTTACTCTTTCAGTTTCTTGCACTAGGGAGATTTCTTCCTTATCTAAATAGTAGTCTACTACTCAGAACATGTTTCTTTTTATACCTCTGTGTTCATATGCATATATTAGATTAATCTTCTAAGCCTGAAAACAAAACTTCCAGAAAACTCAGCTAACTTCATTTTTTTGCTTTGCTGGACTTTAAACCATATCAGCAAAGTACACACATTAGACAGCAGGAGTCTTTCTTCCTATTCTTATCTTTTGTTTCTTGAAGTCATCACCTAGCATCCGGGACAAAAAGCAGGAAAATTCCATAACTTCACATACTCAAGAGAAGAGCCAGGCACTTTTTTGTTTAACCTGAGACTCAAAGGTCCCAATTTCTGCCCTCCCTGCAAAAAGTATTTAACATCTCAGAAGAGTTCAGTATCCTAGGCAATTTAGATTCAAGATCCCATAACTCTAGGCTAATGATGCAACTAGGTTAATTTGTTCAAAGTTGACACAAATCTTCTCTAGCATCCTGGTGCCAATGCTGAGCAGCCCTGCAGCGATACCTTCTCACTAGTTACTCAAAGACAGAAATCAAACCTGTGGCTCGATAGCATCACTGAAAACCCAGGCTCATGGTTTTTTTTTTTGTTTGGTTTTAATTTATGAGATTTGAGAACAAAACTTCCAGAAGGAAGATATATATGTATTTATTTTAATTCATAGAGAACATTGCCCATGCTTCTGACTTTCATTAATAAAGTGGGGCAGGGCAGGGCAGGTTCCCTGGTGGTACTGTCAGGGAACAGCATATGAAAAGATGCTCTTGTTGCCACAGGAGCAAGATGACGTGAGACTGACGGCCATCATCTTATTTGAGAATCTGGCATCCCTAACAGGAAGACAGTGGAAGGCATTTTTTGCAGAAGAGATTAAAAAGAGCATGATTTCCTTCCTCCTCCACCTCTGGGATCCCAACCCCAAGATTGGAGCTGTAAGTGGCCTCCACAGACACCTGCACCTTCTGTTCTTCCCAGGGTTAAAAGGTACCAATAAGCCTGATCTAGTTGAAATGGAAGCCAGATCTGAACTCACTCCTCAGACCTGAGCCTGAAAACTGTTTCCCCAGTTCTGGGTTCTTTCTTGTCATCTCTTCCCAAGTTTGCTGGTCCATCCTTGAAACTGGAAAAAAAATCACTGGAAGTGATTGTAATGCTCTGTGAATCACTGACTTTTACTACTAGTTCCCCAGTACTACTCAGCATTTCTTCCCTTCTGGAATGAGATCCCTGCCTTATAGATTGTGACCCACAAAACTGTTTCCTAGGCTTGTCGTGATGTCTTGATCACCTGCTTCCCTTTCGTGGGCCTTCAGGAACTGTATGGGATACTAGACCATCTCCTTGATCAAGACCTACCAAGAGCAAGAGATTTCTATAGGCAATTTTGTGTGAAACTGGTGAGTGCGCAGCAGATGCTACTTGAAAAAGGCAGAACAGGAGTGCAAACCAATCATGCAACATAACAAAGAATCTCTGGCCAGAGCTGAGCCTGTCTTGCAAGGATCACAATGATTCTGCCCGCACTGCCCTCTTCTCTTTTCTGCTAGCAATGGGATCTGCTCTCCTAGGCTCCAGAAACTTACATCTGTTGATTAGTTCTTACTCCCTAGTGCCATCCTGAATAAACTGAAATTGAAATTGCTGTAAGATAACTTTCAATTAATTAATTAATTAATTAATGGCTGCATGAATGTTCACTGGCCTTTAGAGTTACCATTTGAGGACTTATAAGATGATGAAAACAAAGGATAAGTGTATTACGCAGCTTTCCCATTACTGGGACAGTGTACCAGATACCCACAATTTAAGAGAAAGATTGGATTTGGCTCAGTTTCAGGGGGTTCAGTGGGTGGTATTTAGCTCTGAAGCAGAAACGCCACGGCAGGAGGCCATGGCAGAGCAAAAGTGCTCAGCTGAAAGCAGCCAGGAAGGACAGCAGGGGACAGTGCCAGAGAGGGAGAAGCGAGAAAATAGATGTAGCACCTAAGGTCACATCTCCGTGCCACCCAGGGACACCCAGACGTGTACTTCATTAATTCCCTTGGTGCTTCTTAAACCAATCAAGTTGACACAATTAGTTCAACCTCCACAGTCACTTTCCAGTTGCCCTCTTTGTAATATTCATCTCTTGTAGGCAAAGAAAAATCAGGAAATTCTGTGGATCCTCCATACACACTCATTCACCTTTTTCACAAGCAGCTGGGAGGTGGTCAGGAGCACAGCTGTCAAACTCACAGGTGAGCTCGCATCCGCATTCCCTGTTCAGAGATGTCTGTGCTTTCCTATCTAGTGTTTGTTTTGAAAAATCTACCCAAGGCTGAACACTGGTATGATTGGTATGACCCTCAGTTCCCAACCCCTCCCCTGAAAAAAACCAGTAAGAGAATGTGTTTTCTTTCAAAGACAAAAGCTTATAACCTCTTGACCTTTCGCTTCCCTTACCAACATTCACTGTCCTCCCATCCGAGGGTCCCCCCACTGAACTTTCCATGCTCTTCTTGGTTCCCAGTCATTGCTTTTCCATTTCCCCCAAGTCTTGGCTCCAAGCCTGCTGCCTTTTCATGCTGTCCTCAACTCCTCCCTTAATTGAAACCGTACTCAGCATTCCAGCCTCGTTTCAAGCTGAGAGGGTGAGCAGCAACATGATACAAGTAGAATGCATGTTGATGTGAGGACCAGCAGATCTTGGTTCTGCGATGTGATTCTGGACAGTTAACTTGTCTGTGTTACCTCTCTGTCAAATTGCTAATGTGGAGAAAAAAGTCAAATGAATCTCTGAAGACTTTCCATTATGAAATTCTGTTAGATCCTGTGGACTGTTCCAATCAACCCAGCCTAGAGTTAATAAGCCACTCTCTCAGACATCTTTAAAACCAGATTAAAACCTATGGATTCCTTACTGGATTGTACATATGATTGCCACAACTACACTATAAATTTGTTTAATGGAAGGATATACTGACACAAGTTTAAAGCCTAAAATGCCTACCCCCGCAGGAAGTCCATTGTGTGAGTTTTCCCATATACACTTGGGATGAATGACCATTTCCAGCCACAGGGCTCAAAACCCAGTAAAGATTCTCCTAACACCTCCCTAGGAAAGGGATGCGAGGGAGTTACAGAATCCGCTTATTCCCTCACCAGACTGTCTAGTTTCTGATCAGGTAAAGAGTCTTACATGATCCACTTTTTCTCCATTGAATTTAGATGCCATAGTCCTCAATTTGACCAGCCAATATATGGAGTTATTAGACAGAGAACAGCTGACCACGCGTGAGTGCCAACCTAGCTTCCACCCAGCCTACTATTATATTTTAGGGGAAGAAAAGCTGTTATAGCTTCAAATTCCATATGAGCCCAGGAACCGAAAATCTTTTATAAAATGTAGTTATTAGTGCTTATTAATTTTATAAAATATTGGAGTTTGATGGAGTTTCATACATGCACAGAACATATTTTAATCAGATCCATCCCTAGAAAATCTCAGTAAACAATCATTGTCTCTGATGACCTCTAGACTTTAAAATTTCTACACAATTTAAAGCAAGCTCCAGCTACAAAACTTTGTGTCATTCCCAATGGACTATGGTTTTCTAATTGTGTAAACCTACTGATCACAGCTCAGGATCTCCTCCTTTCCCCCTCCCCCTCGCCGCTCCCCACTCCCCCCTGCCCCATGCCCCTTGCCTCCTCTCTCTCTTTCTCCCTCTCTCACTCTCTCTCTCTCTCTCTGTAAATCGAGCCCAGGGCCTCACTCACACTAAGGCCAGACTTTTACCGCTGAACTATACTCCTAGCCACTCTTCCCTTTTTTCAGTGTTGAGAGAGTTTCTCGACTCGTAGCTTCAAATTCTCTCTGTGAGAGTAAATTTTGAGGGGCTGGGGATTTAGCTCAGTGGCGCAGCGCGTGCCTGGCAAGCACGAGGTTGTGAGTTTGATTCCCGGTATTGGAAAAAAAAAAAGAGAGAGAAAGAGAGAGTAAATTTTGAGCATTAGGACCTGAGTCCCACATGGGTTTGACTCTCAGTGATAGCTTTACAGTGCCTCGTAAATCAGGCACTTGGTCAGGATGTTCTTGCTGCTGGGGTTTGGCTCTCTTCGTTCACTTATCCTAGCTATTCTTTCCATTTCAGGGCTCCAAGCACTTCGGCTCGACCCCTGCATCAGTGTCCAAAGGGCAGCCGAAGCTGCCTTGCAGACCCTCCTGAGAAGGTGCAAAGAGACAAGTATCCCTCTGTAAGCCATCAAGAAATAAACCGCTAGGCTTTTTCTAAAACTGACTCCTACCATCATAGTATTAACTCATAAATTTGTGAAAAGATGGTGGCCCAGATGGGAATCTTGGGTAGGAATGTCTTCATTCTCTACAGTCTCCTTAGTGGCTTCCACTGGTAAAAAAAAAAAACCTCATAAATTCATTTCAAAACAAGCCTGTGATGAGAGTGGTGATGGTCACATGGCTTTGCCCAGGTAAGTCCTCTATTTCAGGATGCTTAAGACCCAGCACACACCAAAAAGTGACAGAGCTTGACACAGTTACCTGCAGTAAAAAGAGGGCTACTGTTATTTCCACATGTAACCCCGTCCTCTCATATCTGTCAGCTCTGAATTACTACACACACTCTTTCTAAAATACAGTCTTATAATAAACCCTAGCCTATCTATTTTCTCCTGGGCTGTAATTTATGCATTACAACTATGCCGGGTGCTTCTCTGCAAAAGGCCCTTTCTGAAATTCTACCAAGCTTTATTGTTTCCTTTCCATGCTTAACCTCACGCAATACTGCGTGTCCATGAGTGTGTAGATAGGACATGTATGCTAGCATTCTTCATAGCTGGGTAGTAGTTCTTTATCCTTTCCATGATGCCTAAGTAAACAGTGGCATACATGAAATTAGGTACATAAAGAGAAGTTTCCAACACAGAAGTTGGTACTCATTCAACACCAGCATCACAACCATTTTTAGAAACATTGCTAATACATCCCTGTCAAATATCCCTGAAAATTCCTATTGCTTTCAATCTAATCTCCTCACTCCCATGCTCCTCAGGGGAAGCATCTTTTGTTGCTACAGAATCCAGAAGCCAAAAGTGACCTTTAGTTCAAAACTTCTGGACCAAGAGTTCTATTATTTATTTACCTAATAAATATTCACAGACTACCTATAATTTTATAGAGCATTGTTATAGCCACTGGGGCTACAAGAATGAGAAAAAATAGATCTGTGCCCTCACGGAGTTGATATTCTATGAAATCTGTATAGGTATTCCACTGGGCAGAGCCAGCTACCATGGTGCTCCCCAGTGGTTCCTGCTTCTTGGTATTGATGCCCTCAGCAAATAGCACTGACCTGTGCAATTCAGAACAATGGATTATGACTTCTAAGAGAAGGTCACAAATGATATTGTGTGCTCTTAAATCACTCACTGTGGAGGAAGCCAGCTAACATACAAGAAGACACTCAGCAACCTTGAGTCTACGACACAGAAAGTTCCATGTGGCAAAGAGTAGGTGCCTCCTGTGAAGAACCTGCTTTAACCTATGAGGCAGGAAAGTGAGCCATCTTCAGAACAGATTTATGAGCATAAAAGCTTCATGTGACTCTCTAACTGGAACCTAGCCTTGTAAGATGAAATATAGGATGCTCAGCTAAATTTGATTTTCAATTAAACACCAAACAATTTTTTCAGTAACCCCATACCCCAATTACATATTGTGCTAAAAATTATTTACCTTTTATTTAAAATTTAAATTTACCTAAGAATCTTATCCTTATATGCACTATATCTGGCAACTATCTTGCAGTCTAATAAGAGTTCTAAGCCAGAACCATTAAATTCCCAAATTCCTGAACCACAGAACTGTGTGATAATAAATCCTTGATATTTTAAGTTGCTATGTTTTGAGGCAATTTTCTAAGCATCAGTAGGTAACTATTACACAGTCACCAAAAGTTTATGCAAATTTCTGTGCATAATTTCATAGATGCATTTTCTGGATAATAGTTTTCATTAAATTCTTAATGGAGTCAGAAGTTATTTCCAAGCATAACATACATGAAACAGCAAGAAAAATGAGGTAGCCGGCCCTCGCTGGCCTGCACGTGGCCCTGCCGCGCAGGCACCCGGAAATGCAGGCAGTGGGCACTGGGGAAGTGGCGTGGAGATGAACTCCGGCCCTTGGGCTGGCCACTGCCATGAGGTCAAGAACCGCCATGCCACAGAGAAGCACCGACACAAGAGGCCCACCCGGAGTTGTGCGTGAACCGTCCCGGCCTGGAGAAACCTCTGGGAAAACATGCCACACAGCAGGTCACTCTTGGCCCTGCCCTTGAGAGCCAGAAAGGTCCAGAGTCAGCGGAGGAGCAGCTGGTGAACAAGGACTCAGAGAACACGAGAGTACCGATGCCCTACAACTCAGAGAGCGAGCTGACTGGGGACGTGGGAGCCATTCGGGAGCTGGAAACCAGGAGGACCTTGCACAGTACCTTGGGAGACCCCTCCGGAGGCCATTCTTCCTCTAACTGTACAGGCTGTGATGAAGGAGCGAGTGGATCTCCGGAGAGGTCTGCACCGAGACTTCATGGATTATATGGGTGCCCAGTATTCAGATTCTGTAGAACCGCCTTCATGGAGAAGGTATGTGTCTAGGTTACCTGCCTGGGACACTTAGCATCTGATGGTGCTGAGACTGAGCAGCGGGCCGAGGACTTCATCCACTTGTTCCTGCTGCCTGTGTTGACGCTTGGGGAGAGGACACTAAGTGGTTGCGGGGTCCCATTGCGCTGGGAGGCTGGAGAGAACACCCCTCTGCTTTCTTAGACAAGAGGCATTGATAAAGCGTGCTTCCCTGGATCCCAGTTCAGTAGAGGGACAAACTATTCTTGAGGATGGGGTTGTTGCTCAGCCAGCCTCAGACAGTGGAAGGGGGCTGCTTAGGATGGCTTTTGCCCCGGATGGCTCGCTTGAGATGCTGGTGGGAGTTGCCTCCTCAGTGTTTTGTGGCCGTGGTGAAGGGGAGGCAAGGGGAGAGGGCAGAGAGACCGAGAGGGGACGGCTGCCTTTGATGCAACACTGGGAGAGGCGGACCCTGGGTCTGGTTCTCTGGGCCCCAGGGGGTGGGGGAGTGAGGGGTTCCTCCACTCCATTGTCTGCTGCCTGTGTCGGCCAAACCACCTCAGGAGGGACTGCCCTGGGAGGCCCCCTGGGCCGTGCCCTGACTGTGGGGGTGGCCACTGGAGGTCGGGCTGCCCTCTAGAGGGGGCCTCAGGGCTCCGACTCCTCCTACCAGCTGGTCCAGCGGGAATGAAGGGGCCCAGGGCATACTCTGCCTTCTCTCTCTGGCCAGACCGTTGTCTCCAAGGAGGAGCCCCGCGTAATCATGACTATAGAGGAAAAAGTGGACGGCCCATTGCTGGACACTGGTGCAGGTCTCTAGGTCCTTCTTTTCGGTCCTGGCCTTCCTTCCAGCAGTCACGCCTCAGTGAGGGGAGTCACTGATGAGGAGGTAATCCGCTATTTTTTGCAACCCTTGGGCTGTAACTACTTGTTGGATCTTTCTTGCATATCTTTGTTTTCCTGAGGAGCCACTTTGAGGATGCCAACATGTATTGCAGCAGCCATTGCTGATTTCCTATCAATCTGTCCATAACTCTGTACTGTTTATATTGTTCCTATGCTATTTCATAAGTGGATGCATGTTTGTTACTGTGTGTTTTCAACAACAACCATTGAGAATAGTCAATGATTATTTGACTGATCACTCATGTATAGCTCTATTTGTTTTCCCTAGAGACCACTTTGGAGAATCCAAGCTGTAGTATAACAACCATTGATAATTTTCTGCCATTTTTGTCTGTAACTCACTATTATTTGTCTATTTGTTTTCCTGAGAAACTATCTTGAAGATACCAATAGGTAAAATAACAACCGTTGATAATGTCCTACCACTTTGTCTGTAATTCTGTGAATCCCCCTATTGCTATGTTGTCCTTCTTTTACTCTTTAAAATTAAAAAAAAGAAAATGAAAAAGAGAAATGAGATAAGAAAAGGGTTTAAGTGACCTTTCTGGTAAATTAAATGACTTTTCAAGATAGCCCTGTCCTGTAAAACTTTCATCAATGATGGAAATAATTTTTCTTTCTACACTGATCAATATGGCAGCCATTAGCCACATGTAGCAAAAGAGCACTTGAAATGTATCTAATATATATCTGAGGAATCACATTTTTATAGAGCATTAATTAATTTTAATTAAATAACCATGTATAGCCAGTAGTTACAGCATTGCACAGGAAAGTTTCAGAATGTCAAAAAACATTAATAGAATTTGGTTTGAGCTGTCTGAGAACTACAAGTAATTCTCAATAAGAGTATAAATCCATTGAAACAAAATTTTGGTACCTCTTTATCTATACTGCCATCGCCCATCCTTCTGTGCATTCAATAAAGTACGTTTCTCAGAGATTTTTCCCCCGCCACTGGGAATCAAACTCATGATCTTACACTTTCCAGGCAGGAGCTGTGCCACTGAGCTATATCCCCAGTCCCTTTCTCAGAGATTGACTAATATAAATTAGACAGACCAGCCATACAAAACATACTTTGCCACTGGTTAACTCTCTAAACTCTAATATTACAAAGATTCATGCTGGCAGGAATTTCCAGGACTCTTTCTCTCTTTCTGGCTCCAACTTTCTATCTGGGACTTGAGAAAGTCTTACAATCTCTCAGTACATTGATTTCCATACCTGCAAAATTAATATGATTTTTTTCCTGAAGTTGTTGTTTTGGAGATTAAGTAAGTAGTACATTTTAGACCATTTGGGCTGCTATAACAAAATATCTGAGACTGGATAATTTATAAACAAAGAATTCATTGCTCCCAGTTCCAATATAAGTTCAAGATTAGGATTCCAGCAGATTTAGCATATGATAAGGACACTTCCTCATATGTGGTAGCTGCCTGATACATCTCTACAAGGTGGTAAGTTCCTTCAAGTCCTTATATAAAGGCACCAGTGCTACTCATGGAGGTAAAACCCTAATAACTCTTTCTTTTTTTTCTTTAAGTAGTATATGCTTGTAGTACGCAATGATTACATTTAGTGTAGGGAATTAGTGCAAGCACATAACACATCTCAATTCTTTTCCCCCTACGCTGTACCCCCTTTTACTTTTCCAATATCAGATTTATTTGTTTATCTTGTGAGGCCTTATATAGTTAATTATCATATATACAGATTGAAAACCAGACCAATGGGGCAACAAACCTATAAGA